CTTTTTCATTTTTTAGATTTTATCAGACTTTTGCACATTGATCACAACATACTTGTGTCTGTTATAAGGCGGAGAAAATAGTCGGTTTGAGCTGAATTTCTACTCAGGTGATTATTTAATTTCCCTGGAACTGACCAGCATTTCTTTCAACACAGAAGCTTATTTTCCATTTTCTCTACTGACCTGAAAATGATATTCTTCGTTCTTGTTGCGGAAGAATGAATAGTCTATACAGAAAATCTGTTAATAAGATTCACAGGAATGGAAGCGCCTTTGGTGACCTCTGTTGTCTACAGAAATTGCACGGTGGTCCTATTTCAGCTGACTATTTGATTATTTTGTCCTTGTTCATTATGCTTCTTGATCAACAGAGCGTTTTCCAACGTTCATGGAAACTTTTCTAGTCCAGAAGCACTCGTGATTCTTGTATATTCATCTGTAACAATAAGTTTTCCCACTGGATAAAACTTTATTCTTATCATTTATGTCTCCATTCACTCTTCGATATACTTTATGGTGCCAGTCATGCATATCTCAGCTTTAACTGTGCATACACTTTTTTAAAACAAGTGTGCTTGCATCTTCAAATCTAGTAGTTTCGTAGTTAGTCGAGTATTTTTCGTTTAGTTACAAATAAACCGATTTTTAAAACAGTGGAAGTATACAAGTGCCATTTTACTGACAGAATCTGTAACTGTATCTATTTCCAACTCGCATAAACTTATTAGTACAAAAGCTTGTACAAGGTAATTATCCCTTTTTTTAGCGTAATCATTTTACATCTACATGATATCAACAATTTATTTATCTTCTGAAGTTAAAAAAAAGGATGGAGAAAAACAAATAGACACAAACTGTTTACATTCTCGGGATTTCTGTATTCTCGAAGTAGGTGTAATTTAAAAATGAAAATCAAAAGTCTGCGTTCGGATGAAGACGATAGTGATCCTGACACAGATTTATTTGATGCCCATGAAAAGGTATTGACAATGTGTCCATCTTTCTTTTCCTTTCTAGTCTGATGGGCTTAGAAATTTCATCTCACCAGTTTGATTTATACGAAGTAGAGACTATGAACTTTGTGATGCTGATGTCGGTAGGTTGCCTTTAATTCATTTTTGATCAATGAATTAATGACTGATTTATTCTGCAGGACGAAAAAGGATCAATACTCCTTCCACTAATTTTGCAGACTCCTAGCTTATTCGATAGCATCCTATATATTTTTGGTTTACGCCTCCCCTTTTATTTTTAAAACTGTCTCAGATAGCCTTGATTTGACCTCTTCATATCCCCTTGATGGGTTTGGAAAGAAGCCGCCATCTTCAGTGTTCCAACAACGTGAGTTCTTCTTTCTTACATCAGTGATATATATATGCATATCATAACCACAGTGTGTTGGAAAACACTTATGACTTGATCTCCACATTCAGAAAACCATTTAATCTCCGTTATTTCAGTATATGAATTGTGTGAAATTAAATGGTGAACAGTTAGGATCTATGTAGTCCGTTCAGCGTGAAAAGTATGTAAATAGATAAGTTATATTACTACGAGATTTGAAATATAGCTTCTAAAAGTTAGACAGATGATATTATGCATATGGACCTCAGCCAGTGAAAACAGAGAACAGTGAGAAAAAGGATTACTTATGGAAAGAATTTAAGCACCATGAATAATTTTAGCTCTCTTCTAGATGTCTTTATTTTCTCAGATGAATAACAGTACTTTACCAAATAAAAGTTAGTGTTATTAATATAGTACGTTGAGTTCTAGCTTCCTTCCTTATGGATAAAAATAATTAGAATGTTTGGTGGTTAATGTTTGGAATTGTGGCTTTAGGGAAAATATACCATCTTTAGTAAGCGTCGGTGACACAGCGGTTAGGACTCTCGCCAACCATGCACATGGTCCGGGGTTAGATCCCCGGTCACCGACGCACTCCTTTACCTCGCCAAGCCAGAAATAATGCTGGTAAAGAGGAAAGGTTGAGCATGAGGCTAGCAACCCCATCCTGTAAAATTAAACACTGCTACAGAAACTTCAAGCCACTAGCTTGAAGCCCTATGTTCCACTTTGGGGAACGTGAAGGAAAAATTATTATTTTATTATTATTACCACCATTAGTGACGAACAAATACACCTTGGGATTTACTTATTCTGAAAGCGTTTGGTGTTCTCCACGTTTGCATATCTGATTCTCTGTAAATTTAGTTTTGAAAATGTCACATAGCATTTTGGAAAAATATGCACAGTGAAAAACTAAATTTCAATGGACATTGAACAATCTTTAGATTACACTTATTTTCTTGATAACTTCTAATAATCTTGAAGGCTTTGAATAAAGCAAGAACAACAGTGGTTTGTGCAAATGATAGTCAGATGAAAACACAGTATTTTTCCATCAGTTCTCTCACTGTTAATCCTTACAATGTAGGAGGTTTATAAGCTGTCATTTGGAATCCTTAGAGTACTTGAAATCGCCACTGACAGGCTCATGGTGAAACGGCTTAAAATAATTCAAAACGGCATAGGCATATTAATCTCTAGGAAATCTTTCACCTTCTAATCATTTTCACTAATGATCACTTGTATTTCCTCATTATAATGTTTCTTCGATGAAACTTTATTTATCTTTCTTCTCTATCCCTGTGCCTTATTTCTAAGTGTTTTAATTAGAAGGGTTCTGGGTTAGCTTGTGTATTTTTGAAGCTTCTATTATTCTGAGTAGCTCTCATATACTGCTGAACTACTTTGAAGCTAAGTTGAGAAGATTTCAGAAAATGTCATCGTAAAATCACCATCACGGCTATTATTATTATTATTACTATACAAGTAATTTCAAGAGGCAATTAATCGACTTATAGTCACAAATTTTTCACTTATAATCACATAACGCTATTATTAAGTAATGATAAAAACAAAAGTATAAACTCTATCGCATTATTCTAGGCGGTGGTAGAGAGATAGTGTTAGGGCGTTTTGACTTTGGGTTATAAGGCTTTGAAAACTTGAGATTGTAACCACGACTGAAACTATGATTTAGCATTACTCCACCCATCCTCCACACACACACATACATACATACAAACACCTACACACAAAATGCGCGACACTTAATAATTTCATAAATTTACTGCTATTTCATTTTGACAGAATAAATTCAAGTGTCTTGAAAAGCTTCATTGTTTTGCTGTAAGCTTAAGAAGCGAATTTATCAATACTCAGAAAAAAATTATTTCAAGTTTTTATTAGTTTTCTTATAAAAATAATAGTTGTACTTCATTCTCTTTTCAGTTTTGTTCCTGCAATTTTTAATTCTTCCTACATTTTCATCTAACTATCAATAGTTGGATGGAAGCCAAATGTATGATGTGTATTTTATCCAAATAAAGGATATACGATTTAGCATTCAACCAGTGTTTACTTATTACACTATTAGGTTAGGGATCTGTCACTTTAGGCTAAAAGTAATGGACATGTGCTTCTAAGGTACTGTTTCAGAATATAAACCATTGTGATCTTCACTATCCTGACAGTCAGATGTATAATTCAGTTAAAAGTGTAATTTAACTTCAGTCACTGATGCGCGTCCGTGTCACAGCGGTAGAACGCTCGCCAACCAGCATGGGGTTAGTGGTTCAATCGCCAGCCGAAGAACTGCTTTACCTTGCTATGCCGGTAATAAGACTGGTAAAGAGGGAAGGTTGGGCGTGTGGCTAGCAACCCTATCTCGTAAAAAATAAACACCACTGCTACAAAAACTTCAAAGCTCTTGCTTGAAGCCCTTTGTACCACTGAGACCTTTAGGGAATAAAATTTTAAAAAGTAATTAAAATGAAGTCACAGATGCAAACGTGCAGTCTCACTGAGTTCATATTCGTATTTAAATGAGTCATTAGATATGATAGAGAAGATTTGTAGCTCAGGTGGATGATTTTGATGTGGTTTTGTTCTCTGAGCTTGATGGTTAATTTGCGAAGCTTTCATCACCCTACTGGGTGACATCTTCAGCGTATACTTCAATTTGAAGTATACGCTGAAGATGTCACCCAGTAGGGTGATGAAAGCTTCTCAAACTAACCATCCAGCTCAGAGAACAAAACCACATCAAAATGAGTCATTAACATCCTAGAGGCAATTTTCAAGATAAAGTTCTTTGGACAAGTAAAAGAGAGAAACACAGAGACTATATTACGATGTCACTTCATGCTGGACATGGTTATGCCATATAAGATACGGTAATACTGCAATATATATTGAAATCTGTTACACATATTTGCATAGTGGTTTTGAGTAAATAAAACCGTATCGCTGCATAGTTATCAGACATATATATCTAGCATGGGATAGTTTCGACAAATATGAGGAAGGAAATGGAGGCTGGCTGGACGTAAGCTGAAGAGACCTTCAAGTGACAACATAGGCTAGGCCTTCAGGAGAGTCTGAGTGTGAAGTGACTGACTGAAAGTCTCGGATGAGAGGAGGAAATGAAAGCTTGTGGGCTAGCTAAAAGTGTTATCAGAGAAGTGAGTTAGATGGAGACGTACCCCTTAAATATTGTGTTCCAACCCGGAATGCAAGGAATGAATGATAAATAATAATAATAATAATGCAATCGTCTCAATTTGAACAGTGTAACACGAAGAGAAATGCAGAGTTGGGGGATTCAGACTAGAAGTGAACGCGATATGACAGTGATTTCATTAAAAATGAAAGTTGGTTCACTTAAGGAGTAGTATACACTAGTCTTAAGTCCCAGATAAAGAAATGGCAGCTTGACTGGTATTTAATAAAGCCCGTGCACTCATGTCCACTGATGGAATTATGTTCACATTCTCAGAAGAGAACTACAATGCTAAAAGATACCTATTTTGTGAACTATTTTCGTAAACACGACACATTCACTTAACTATGTCAGATTTTTAGCAGAAATTAAAATGACAAATAAACAAAGAAATCGTTAACATATCTGAAACTAATATGAATACAATACTCACCTTTCTCATCGTTTTCTCTTTCCATTTTGAACAGATAACGTCTTACAAGTCGTTGCATTATATCTGAATGTGATGTCTCTTGAATCGTTAAATCCTTGTCCTTCACAACTTTATCCCTTCTCACCTACACAATTAGATTTAAGCAGAAAGCAAATGACAAACAATTAATTATCTGTTGAACAGTAGCTTTTGAAACAGACTTTTCCCCAATTATATACAAGCTATTGTTAAATAAAATTCAAATAGTTGTGTGTCTTATATCCATGCTAAACTGGGACTAACATTCTGCCAGTGTAGCGAGTTTGACTATTGGCTATCAGTCAGTGTTCAAATCTTCGTGTGAAGTCGGTTTACTTTATAGGCTTAGTGACACGCTGTGTATACATCATCACTTCTTATTGAAAAATTATAGCCTTAGTTAAAATACTACATCAATCATTTGACTATTGAGTGTTTCTAGTTATATTCAGTTTAGTTAAAATCACTTTGGATAGATGCAGAATCAAAATTTAAAGGAATTCACGTTCATCATTATATATATATATATATATATATATATATATATATATAATGACTAGAGTGAATTGATATGAAGATAAAACTTGGGCACTGTGGTAGACTGTGATTCTATCATGGAGTAAATTTATTTGATAAAACCTCACAGTGATACAATATTATTTACTAATAGCAGTAAATAAATTGAAGTGAAATTGAAAACTTATGTAAGACCGATGTGTCCGAAGATGAGTCAACTCTTCTTCTAGATAAAACATTTTGCCTATGCAAAATTACTGTTTAACTTTGTTCACCTGAATAAACAAAACACACTTTTTTTCCTTTCAAAGTTACTGACACCAAATTAAATCCACAACATGAACTTCTATGTGTGATTTCGTTGCTTTTGTATCAGTTGACCTTGACCATTGCAAAATAAACATGATTGTGTAAAGAATATTAAAGAAACTGGACGGTGAAAACAGAACAGTCACTTTTTTGTAATTATTTATTCCCTTTATCTAAAATAAATATTTTCTCATGTAGTATTTACATTTGTATATGTGTATGTGTGTGTCTACCAGCACCTGTGACCTCAGAAATGAATCCATTTCAGTACCTTCAGGTTTATTAATTTACCAAGTGAATGAATTAAAAATTCACTCTCTTGCTTTTAACAACTTGTCTGCCACGATCATTTTGTTGTCAGAATTGTCCTTAAACAAAATTAAAGTGGTTCAGGTAGTCTCTTTATCAATGAACATCTGAAGTTTATCATGAAGGCACTGAAATCATTTGAAAGAAAATGTTTTATTGAGTTGCATAAGACAGAAATGGGATTACTACTCCTAGGAAGTGTAGAGTTTCCTCAGTTATCTAGTCATCATCAAAATATGTAGTTTAATAGGTAGGTAATTCCCTCAGGGTATGTCATATTTTAAATCTCTGCATTGGGAAACAAGAGAGAGGTGGATCTAAATGTGGGTCTTTTAAAGAACCATCCTGATCAGTAGTAGAAAATCTTTCTAAAATCTCTAGTTAAAACATATATATCTGGAAGTTTTGTTGAATTTAATAAATTAGTAATTTCCATTGAAAATAAATCAGTTATAACTGAATATTCTCAGCGATGATATATTCTAGTGAATGCTGGGAATAGTTGAAAATCATACACGTACACATCGACCAGAAGTGTTTACTTGTCCCATTGTGATAATATAAGTGTCATGGCCATTTTGCTCCTTTTAGGCCCAGTTCGCCAATTCTGTGCTGGAGTCAACGCAGTCCCGAGAATCAAATCAAACTGAACCAGTTGAATTCTGGCTAGCTTTTTGAGCTAACTGGTAAGTAATATTAGTGGTATTTGGATCATGACTATCTTGATAGCAAGAGGCACTGGTTTCCAGCTAAGCGTACTACTTAGCAGTATACGCTATCTTGTTGTAGCAAATTAATTTATTGCCAACGATTGGGACAAAAGTGGTTCTAATGACTCCAATTCACTTGTAAAGCTCATTTCAAACGTAGTTAACGTTTTAAACCTTCTTATGGAAGAATCCAAAGGTAAATTTTATCAAAAAGAAGTTGAAACTGAATGACAACAAGAGAAACTAATGAGGCATGTTAGGAAAAGTGAATAATTGCCATTACCCCTTCCTAAGTCATATCATCCCATATTAATTCGTTTATTGTATGTATCATACAATGAAACTTTATTTTATTTACTGAATGATGTTTCGAATACAATTTATTGTAGGAAGTAAAACATAAAACAGAAGCCTTGACACGTAGTAATTGCCCTAATGAATTTATCCGGAAGTATATAGGAGATTGTAAATATAAAAATAAAATTAATAAGAGTGACATAGTTATCAGTCATATACAGTAAGATAACTGCAACAAGAAGGGGATATTTAAAAGATCCACAGTTCCTCCAAGCAAAGAAGGAACCCCATTTAAAAATAAATTATGTTAGCTAAAGCGACTTCAGAGGCCGATCAGCCAAAGAATTTAATTTTATCTAATACTATGCAGTGACTGTGAGGCCAGACACACAAGTCAGTGTGATAGAAAAAGTTAGTTAGACTGACAGAGCGTAGACGCCTGACGGAGTCTTGACTAGTAGACTGTGTTAAGGTGAAATATGTATAAAAAAGCCCTTCTGTAGCACTACCATACAACAGGATAGGACATAATGATAAGCCTAAATTCTAACATGGCTAGGTGGAAGGAGAGACTGATAACTGAAGCTTTATTCATCGAATTCACCAAGAATACATGCAACCGAAATGATTTCACACCAGTCTCTGATATCCAGAAAATGCTGTGATTCTTACAACAAATGGAAGAACGATAATAATCGATTATGAACAATAACATCATTCATGAACAATGTTTCATTGTCTGATATATCAAATAAACAAATTAATACGGAATAACACAGCACTACAGTGTCCAAGTTATCCACAAATCCCGAGTTATGTCAGCATCCTTTGAGTTACCGATTAATCTACTGAACTCAGATATTAGTCAAGTCTCATTTTATTTCAGACACACGTCTTTTAGTTCTCTGATTGGACTGCGAGCTATAACTTTCAGTGTTATAAGATCGATTGTTACCTGCCTACACTAAAAGCGTTCTGCTAAACTATCAGTATCTTCTTACGTGTAATCAATAACTATTTATCAGTTTAATTTGCTAATTCTCATCTTTAAATAGGCAGACAAAGGCAAGCGTTTGTGTCGTATCCTTCTTGATTTCTTTTAAAATATAGATGAAATTATGTAGGAAAAATGCTGTACAACTAGACTTTACAAAAATTCACACGTCATTAATTATATTTCCGCCGCCTAAATACCTACACAAACATACACCTGTGATTCATTCGATCAACTGGGTTGACAGTTTGAAGAAAAAAGCATAATTTAAGTTAACAAATAGCTGAATTTAAAATTTCCGTTGTCGTCATCAGTAATTGGTACACTATGTTTGTAGGTATGTTAACTGCAGTTAACCGGGTTAATATACTCGCGAAACGTGCTCATAGCAGTCGAATGTTGATGTATAGCTCTTTTTCCCTTGACTGTTAAGTAATGCAATAACACACTGGAATTTATCATTGTGTTTTTGTGTGGATCAATTACTGTTGACGTTTGTTTCGTTTTTACTCTTAAATTTTTTATTTGTTATCATGATTCTGTTTCTTTCATTGAGAAGAGTTACCTACGTTTGCAGTCCAAAAATTTAGGTTTTCGATTTGTCTGGCACTCTTCGATCATCCATATTTAGTTGTCAAAGGAATAACATTTCTAGTGTTACATACATGCCATTATAATCCGATGAAATAAGATTGAAAGAATCAGGTACACAATTTAGGCTAATTGGATACATTAAACTAGAAAGAGCAATCCTCCTGAAGTGATGTTCTACAACAACATGGCTGTCGTTATCACCTTACATTTTAAATGTTCACTATTCTGTCATTAACCACTCTCTGTAGTTGCTAATCTTTCAGTTATCCGCTTAAAGAAGACACTCTAATCTGTCTTATAGGTTCAACTTATTAAAGGTCAGTAATCGATCTGAATGGGAATTATAATAATTTAATAGACTGCCAACCCTGTATTTGGTGAGAAACTCAAGCAACTCATTTATAGTGATGTGCTCAGTCAACAAGAATACGACTGTTTTCAGATGCCGGTTTGTATGGATCTGACTAATTTCAAGGAAGATCATATCGTCAGCATACATTATTTACAATCATTTAACAGTAGAGATGCTATATAGCTGTTTTCCGCTGTCCTGGGACTCTTCAGCAGCATTCATCCACGAGACGACTAGGTTCTAGAGATAGGTACTCACCGATGACATTCAGCGGTGATGGCATGCTTGTCCACTAGCATTCACGAGTAAGCTAGAGGAAGCTTGTCCTTCACTGAGATTCAAACCAGCATCACCCAAGCCATTCATACGGTGACCATTGACTTTATAAATTAATATCTTCCATTTGATCTCCAGCGTCTTAAATAAATAGTGGCTTCTCATGATATGTTTACGTGTAATTTTAATCACCAGATCATTACTGGCAGTTATCTTTTCTCAGTTCACGTCTAACGGAACAAGGTGAGCTATGAACTGTTGGTAGTTTCTCCTAGTTATGTCTTTCAAAGTCTGACTTTTTTCCTATTCTAATTTACTGCCATTATCAATTTCACTGATACGCACTTATCTCCCACATTTTTATTTCACTGTGGTTATTTATTTTTCCAATTCTTTTTGCTAACATCTTCATAGCCCTTTTCCTGTCGTGTCGTGTTTCAAACCAACTATTGTTATTGACGAAATGACGACCCTAATCCACAGCTGTTTGACCTTTATGTCTGATATGAGCAATCTTTCTTTCTGTCTCTTTCTGGCTCGCTTCTCCCTCGTCACTCGCCTACTCACCCATCTATATAGACACACTAACTTCCATTCTATCTATCTACTGACAAGAAAGTCGTATTTATTCTTTTGTACTTGATGAAAAAGGTTGCCTACCTAGTGACTTCGTTGAATCCATTTGTTTTTTGTTTTGAAACGGGGTTTTGCTTTAAAGTATCAGTGTATAAAGTACATGTATACATATA